GAGGGTTAAGTCCTGTGGATGGAGGTGCCTTAGTAAGGGCTTGACAGTCAGGGCATTCTTTTATAATTTGCTTAGCTTGAGAACAGGGAATATCAAATTGTCTCTGAAGTGCCTGGCTGTTTTGATGAAAAAAACTGGTGAGAAGCTACTGCTTGCTGAAAAGCAGTGAAGACACTAAGACATCTGTTTTATTGTTACTATCCACTAAGGGACCAGGCAGGCCTGAGTGGGATCGAATATGAGTAACGAAGAGGGGGTGTTCTCGCTTGTCGAGGAGAGACTGTACAGTCAGAAACAGGTTAAGCAGATTTGAGTCAATTGAAATTATAATTAATGCCTGATCTAAATGTTGAATAATATAGACAGTATATCCAGAGTCACAGATTATATTCAAAGCTTCTTTAGGCCATTGCCACAGGGCCATAATTGCAGCAAAAAATTCAGCCCTCTGAGTAGAGGAATGTCCTGAGGATACAAAGTCTTTCCAGCTATTGCCTTCTTTCCAGGCAACAGCGGCCCATCTGGTTTTCCCAGACCCATCAAGAAATAGAGTCTTTGCTCCTGTTATTGGTACTGGACTGGTTTTTTCTGCTAGTCTTATCTGAAGAAATGGAATGTCTTGAAGCAGTCTGTCTGAGGGTAAATTAATTTCTAGTCCTCCCACAAAGTCAGCTATGGCACAGTGAAATTCTAAAGACTGAGCTGTTAGTTGCTATAAATAAACCTGAATTAAGGGAATGTGAATAAAGTCAGCCAGAGAATGGGAAGATCCCCATGGCATAATAGTGCTTAACAATCCACTGGCCTCTTTTAAGAGTTCGACCATTTGTTGGCACTTTTATTGCACTTATTGTTTCTGCTATAGTTGTCGCAGCTACTGCAGCCACGGCAACCACCAGCCTCATTGGGTCAGTTCAAACTACTCATACTGTTGATGTTCTCTTGACCAATTCCAACTTAGAAATGCTTCAACAGGCCCAGATTGATCAAGAAATCCTGACTCAACTTTCTGCAGTTGAATCAGCACTCAACTGGATCAGTGAACGCCAGGATGCGCTAGTCATCCATCAGCAGCTAACCTCTGATCCTTATTTCTCCAAACTGTGTGTCACCCCACTACAATGGAACTCCAGCCAATACTCCTGGAGTGATATTCGACATCACCTAAAAGGAGCTTTTTTCTACTAATTTAAAGGGACAAATCAATAAATTGCAACTGGAGTTACACAAACAGTTGCAGGACATTCAACACTTAACTAAGCAGGAGATTCTCCAAACCCTTAATGATAATCTTAGCTCATTAAACCCAAAGCACTGGTTTGGTGGATTCAACCTAAGATTGTGGGTCACTGGAGCCATTGGTTGTTTACTGATTTTAATAATATTTTGCATATTACGATGCATTTACACATTATTTACCCAGGGTTCGCAAAAGAGACCAGCAAGTAGCAAGTCTTATAGGATGTATAACCACAACAGCTTTAACAACAACAAAAAAAGTGTGGAGGGGTAGAACTGTAGGGGACCAGTTTGTCATGGCCTGGCAAATGTGACTCAGCTCTGTATGGAAAACCTACAGAAGTGAAGTGGTGGGCAAAAGCCACACCTTCAAACTAAGTTTTCTCGTGGGAATCAGGCCTAGAAAATGCATAAAGATTGTTATGGCTTGCTCTTGCTAAAACTCCAACACCCTGGTCTAAAACAATAAATGTGTGTTGTCTATCTTCAAGGTAATTTCCAAAGCCTATATGAGTTCTCCCAAGGACAGAGCTAATGAGCTCATTGCCATCCCCCTCTGCATGTTATTTTTATCTCCTTGATTGTACCTAAAATGTAGACAATAATATTCTATGTAATAGATAATAAATCTTTCTATAATGTAAGACCCCAGGAAAACAATAAAAGCCTGTCTAGGCAAGGGTTGGGGCGCTCCCCTGTTGAGAGAGTGGCCAAGGCACCCATGGGCACTCTCCCCTTGAGAGAGCAGCCAGCCATACCTGTTCCCTTTTTCCCACACAGGATTTGTTATCGCCTGTGCATTGATTCTTCTTGTAAGCCACAGCAGGCGGACTCTGCTGGACAGGGTCTGCTACATAGGACGTTTTGTTGAAGGGGTACAGCATATTGATTTGATACATTTTTTACTATGATTTGCATTATTGACTTAACTAGCACTGCTGACTCATCTCATAGTTTCTTCTAGTGTTGCAATAATTAAGGTCTAGCCTCTTACCAAACTGAATGTTTCTAAATTTTGGTTGTATATAATCACTATACCATGCAGTAGGTCTTCAGGACTTACCTAGTAGTCATAAGTTTGTGCCCTTAAATATCTCTCCCACTTCCCCAACATCCTGGTAACCACCATTACTCTGCTTGTATGCCCTTTGTTTTTTAATTCCAAGGTATTTTTCTCTGTCTTTTCTCACATAGCATAAGGCCAGTAGCATGTTGTTGCAAATGGCAGAATTTCCTTCTTTCTTGGGGCTGAATACTATCCCACTGTGTATATGAACCACATCTTGATCCACAACAAACACTGAGGTCTTTTCCATTTGTTGGCTCCAGTGAACAATGCTGCAGTGAACATGAGGGTATAGATATCTCTTTGATAACGTTTTCATTTCCTCCAAATATGCACCCAGAAGTGGGAGCATCATGACATTTTGTAACAGTTTAGTGTCCCCCAGTGGGATGCCTTAAATCTGCAGCACTGACATTGTTTGAGCCGCTTTCTTCAGGGGAGCATCCCACCCCATTGCAATTCAGCACAGCATGAGGGGGGACAGCATGAAGCAGCTCAGGAAGAATCTGGGGGTCAGCTTAAACACAGGTTCAGGCAACAAGGGTATGTAATGCCGGAATTTCAAAGAGCTGCAACCTGCCAGACAGCTGTGTCCCTGGTTCAAAGACACAACACAGTCACCCAGAGGGAAAGTGCAGCACAGGGAATATAGTCAATAATATTGCAGTAACTATGCATGGTGCCAGGTGGGCACGGGACTTACCAGAGGATCACTGCATAAGCTATATTCATGTCTAGTCACTATGCTGTACACCTGAAACTAATATTGCATGTCCAGTGTAAGTGAAAAATGAAAAAAAATTAAGGAAACACATGCTACACTTGTAAATTGGCTCAAGGTCAGTCACCTGTTTTTTCAAGAGTTCACTAGCAACTAAAAACTGCTTTTGAAAACTCCAAAAGTGGCCTTGGCTGGTGTTGCCTCAGTGGATTGAGGGTTGGCCAGCAAACCAAAACGCTGCCTATTCAATTCACATTCAGGGCACATAGGTGGGTTGTGGGCCAGGTACCCAACAGAGAGTCATGGGAAGCCACAACAGAATTGATGTTTCTCTCACTTTCTTCCTCCCTTGCCCTGTCTGAAAGGAAAATAAAATCTCCAAAAGTGCACCTCCATTTGTACATGGACTCTGCATTCGTGTTGCCTCCATTTTCCCCCAGAGAATTAGCAAAAATCACTTATAGCAACTTCTCCTGCTTCTAAAACTCAGTTTGTTTACACACTGAGAACAGAAACCCAGGGAGCTGTGGCCCTGACACTCTCCCATTGCAGCTTTCCATGTTGGGGATGCCTTCAACATTTGTGAAATTGTAAGCATGTAAACATTTACATCAATTTCTCATCATGCATCCAGGGGAAAAAGCAAGAAAACACAAAGCCACATTTATACAAGTCCCTTTCCCTTCGCCTGACAGATGTGGCTCACTTGGTTGGGTGTCATCCAGATGGAAAGATGGCCAGTCCTGGGTTTTGTCCCCAGTTAGGGCACATGAGGGAGGAAAGCAATCAAGGTTTCTCTTCCTCTCTTTCTCCCTGCCTTCCCTCTTTAAAAATAAAATCAAATCTAAGCCCTGGCTGGTGTAGCTCAGTGGATTGAGCACGGGCCTGCGAACCACACTATCGCGGTTCGATTCCCAGTCAGGGCACATGCTTGGGTTGCAGGCCGGTTTCCTGCAGGCCAGTTCCCAGTAGGGGACGCACGAAAGGCAACCATACATTGATATTTCTCTCCCTCTCTCCTTCCCCTCTAAAGATAAATAAATAAAATCTTAAAAAATAAATAAATAAAATCAAATCTTTACTTTTCTTCAAGTTTTATTTTTTAGAGGGGGAGAATGAACGGGAGACAAGTATCCACGTGTCGTTGTCTCTCACATGCCCCCTACTGCAGACCTCACCCACCACCCAGGCATGTGTCCTAGACGGAATCAAACTGGCAACCCTTGGCTGCGCAGGCCAGCACTCAATCGAGTGAACCACACCAGCCAGGGCTCCTTGAATTAAGTTTTAAGTTTCTTACAAAAATCCTTTTGCTACTACAATTATTACTAACTGAGGTTGGGTTCATGAGAATTTTTATATAGTTACACTATTTTTCATAGCTTCTCTCACTTAAGTGAGACATTTCCAAGCACCTACTATTGCTTAGCTGCTGGTTTGTAGTCATGGTCCTTCAGCAGTGAATAAACTTCCTGCTTCCATGCACCTGATACTCTTGTGCTTGTAAATTTTTTCAAATCCATCACTATAGCTTTCCTAAGGTCCAGTGCTCTTTGCTTTTAAACCTCTCTCCTGCATAAACTTAAGAATGTGAAGGTTCATACAAACTTATACAACCTTTTGCTCTCGCTAGTGTGGCTCAGTCGATTGAGCACCACAGTGTGAAGCAAGTTGGATTCTCAGTCAGGGCACATGCCTGTGTTGCATGGGTAGGTCCCTGGTGGGGGGAATGGGGGAGGTAACCACACATTGATATTTCTCCCCCTCTTTTTCTCCTTCCATTTTCTCTAAAAAAACAAAAACAAAAAACAAACCAAAAACCCCACAAAAAGCCCAAAATCCAACTTACACTACCTTCTTCATAGGGTTTCTCTGTTGTGTATTCTCTGAATTGTCACAATTTTAAATGTATTTTATTGATTACACTATAACAGTTGTCCCATTTTACCCCTTCCACGCCCCTCCAACCTGCACACCCCCTCCCACCCACATTTCCCCTCTTTAGTCCATGTCCACGTGTCATAAGTTCTTTGGCTTCTACCTTTCTGATACTATTCTTACCCTCCCCCTATTTTCTACCTACCATCTATGATACTTATTCTCTGTACCCTTTCCCCCTCTCTCTTCCTCCAACTCCCCTGTTGATAACATTCCATGTGTCTCCTTTTCTGTGGTTCTGTTCCTGTTCTATTTGTTTGCTTAGTTAATTTATGTATGGTTGTTAATAACTGTGAGTTTGCCATTTTACTGTACATATTTTTTCTTTCTTTCTCTTAAATAAATCTCTTTAATATTTCACAAAATAAGGGCTTGGTGATGATGAACTCCTTTAACTTGATCTTATCCGAGAAGCACTTTATCTGTCCTTCCATTCTAAATGAAAGCTTTGCTGGACTGAGCAATGTTGCAGGTAGATCCCTGCCTTTCATAACTTGGAATACTTCTTTCTAGTCCCTTCTTGCCTGTAAGGTCTCTTTTCAAAAATCAGCTGATAGCCTTATGGGAACTCCTTTGTAGGTAACTGTCTTCTTTTCTCTTGCTGCTTCCGAGATTCTCTTATTTTAATTCTTGGGTAATATAATTATTATGTGCCTTGGTGGGTTCCTCCTTAGGTCCAACTTCTTTGGGACTCTCTGGGCTTCCTAGAATCTCTTTCCTTTGCCAGATGGAAAAGTTATCCTTCATTATTTGTTCAGATAAGTTTTCAATTTCTTGCTCTTCTTCTTCTCCTTCTGGCACCCCTATAATTTGGATGTTGGAAGGTTTAAAGGTGTCCTGGAGGTTCCTAAGCCTCTCATTTTTGAATTCTTGTTTCTTCATTTTCTGGTGGCATACTTCTTTCTTCCTTCTGGTCCACACAGTTTATTTCAGTCCCAGTTTCCTTCTCATTACTATTGGTTCCCTGTAGATTTTCCTTTATTTCACTTAGCATAGCCTTCATTTTTTCATCTAACTCGGGACCAAAATCAACCAATCCTGTGGGCATCCTTATTACCAGTGTTTTGATCTGTGCATCTGATAGGTTGGCTACCTCTTTGTGGCTTGGTTATATTTTTTTTCTGAAGCTTTCATCTGTTGTTTCATTTGGACCTTTTTTGTCTTGACCTACCTGTTACATAGTGAGGGGTGGAGCTTTAGGTGTTTACCAGAGCAGGGTAACTCGGATCACTGGGAACAACGGCGCCTGCTCCGGTCTCTGCTGAATTTCAGTCACTTGCCCCGCGTCCCACAAGAAAAGTGGGCTCCTGTGGTGCTGATTCCTATGTGGGTGGGTTTGTATACGTTTTAGGATCCTGTGGGTCTCTCCAACAAACTTTGCTATGAGGCTGGGAGTTCCCATTCCCCCTTTGTTTCGCCTGGTTTATCTGCACATGAATGTGGGACCACCTGGTTGTGCCAGCCACTGCCTTGCCCATCCTGGTGTGCTCGCTGCCTCCTTGTCCAGAGTCCTCTGCTATCCAGCTGCCTATCTCTACTTCTCCTACTGCTCTGGTGAATGTCTTCTTTAACTCCTTGGTTGTCAGATTGCCACACAATTTGATTTTCTGTCAGTTCTCCCTGTTTTTGTTTTTAAATTGTTGTTGTCCTTCTTTTGGTTCTGCAAGAAGGCACAGTGTGTCTACCTGTGCCTCTATCTTGGCTGGCAGTCTGCTGTGAAGAATTGTCACATTTGAAGTCAGCTGGAATAGTGTCAACATTCATGAAACAAGTAGGTTTTTTTCTACTAGATAGAAAACTAACCTCATGCTGAATTCTTAACACACAACACTTTACAGACACTTATCAGCTGTGCACTTTTTCTGATGAATGAAGTCTAAGCTCTGAAGAACACTTTTATCACACACCAATCAGGTGTGATGAGCTAACCAGTATTGTGTACTCTCTCATGCACCTACAACCGCAAATTCTTACTAAAGGCTGTACTGTAAGTAAAACATTTGTAGAGTTTCTGCCTAATGTGGACTCTATGATCAGCTTGAAGACTTGAAATCTGGCTGAAGATTTTACCAGATATGCTACACTTACACAGTTTTGCTATATGTGGATGACCTGAAGAGCTTGCAGTCCTAAGGTCCAACTGAAGATCTTACCAAACAAAACCCATTTGCAGGGTTTCTTTCTAGTGTGGACACACTGATGAACATTAAGATGTGAACTCTGACTGAAGCTCTTCCCAAATAGCACGTTTGTAGACTTTTTCTCCGGTGTGAACTTGGTGATGAAGTTTAAGATCTGAATTCCTCATGAAGCTGTTTCCACACACAGCACATTTGAAGGGTTTCTCTCCAGTGTGAACCCGGTGATGAACTTTAAGATATGAACTCCGACTGAAACTCTTCCCACACACAGAACATTTGTAGGGTTTCTCACCAGTGTGGACTCTCTGATGAACTTTAAAATCTGAATTCCGACAGAAGCTCTTCCCACACACAGCACATTTGTAGAGTTTCTCTCCAGTGTGGACCCGCTGATGAACTTGAAGATATGAACTCTGTCTGAAGCTATTCCCACAAACAGCACATTTGTAGGGTTTCTCCCCTGTGTGGAATCCCTGATGTGCTTGAAGACTGGACATACGAATGAAGCTCATCCCACACAAATCGCATTTACACGGTTTCTGTCCAGTGTGTATTCGCTGATGAACTTTAAGTCCAGAGCTGTGACTGAACCTGTTTCCACACACAGCACATTTGTAGGGTTTCTCTGCAGTATGGACTCGTTGATGAGCTTGAAGACCAGAGGTCTGACTGAAGCTCTTCCCACACACAGCACATTTGTGGGGTTTCTCTGCAGTATGGACTCGTTGATGAGCTTGAAGACCAGAGGTCTGACTGAAGCTCTTCCCACACACGGCACATTTGTAGGGTTTCTCTCCAGTGTGAATTCGCTGATGAACTTTAAGATCTGTACTCCGACGGAAGCTCTTCCCACACACAGAACATTTGTAGGGTTTCTCTCCAGTGTGAAGACGGTTATGATTCTGAAGATGTGAACGCCTACTGAAGGTCTTCCCACACACAGCACATTTGTAGGGTTTCTCTCCAGTGTGGACTCGCTGATGATCTTGAAGATCATTACAGCATGTAAAACTCTTCCCACATACACCACATTTATAGGGTTTCTCTCCAGTGTGGATGCACTGATGAGCCTGAAGACTGGACATGTGACTGAAACTCTTCCCACACATGGCACATTTGTAAGCTTCCTGTCCAGTGTGAACTCGGTGATGAGCTTGAAGACTGGAGGTCCGACTGAAGCCCTTCCCACACACAGCACATTTGTAGGGTTTCTCTCCAGTGTGCACTCGCTGATGAGCTTGAAAACCAGAGATCTGAGTGAAGCTCTTCCCACACACAGCACATTTGTAGGGTTTCTCTCCAGTGTGAATTCGCTGATGAACTTTAAGATCTGAACTCCGACTGAAGCTCTTCCCACACACAGAACATTTGTAGGGTTTGTCTCCAGTGTGAAGACGGTTATGATTCTGAAGATGTGAACGCCTACTGAAGGTCTTCCCACACACAGCACATTTGTAGGGTTTCTCTCCAGTGTGGACTCGCTGATGAACTTGAAGATCATTACAGAATGTAAAACTCTTCCCACATACGCCACATTTATAGGGTTTCTCTCCAGTGTGCACTCGCTGATGATCTTGAAGATGTGAACTCCGACTGAAGCTCTTCCCACACACAGTACATTTGTAGGGTTTCTCTCCAGTGTGAACCCGCATATGAATTTGAAGAGTGGAGGTATAAGCGAAGCTCTTCCCACACTCAACACATTTGTTGATTTTCTCTTCACTGTGGAGTCTCTGATGATGTTTAAGACTGGAGGTATGACTGAAGCTCTTTCCACATACAGAACATTTGTAGGGTTTCTCTCCAATGTGGTTTCCCAGATGAATTTGAAAGTATGATCTCCGACTGAAGCTCTTCCCACACACAGTACATTTGTAGGGTTTCTCTCCAGTGTGAACATGGTGATGATTCTGAAGATGTGAACGCCTACTGAAGGTCTTCCCACACACAGCACATTTGTAGGGTTTCTCTCCAGTGTGGACTCGCTGATGAACTTGAAATTTTGAAGTCTGACTGAAGGTCTTTCCACACTCAGCACATTTGATTTTCTCTCCAGTGTGAACTTGCTGATGAGATTGAAGACTGCAGGTCTGACTGAAGCTCTTCCCACACACAGCACATTGGTAAGGTTCCTGTCCAGGGTGTACTCGCTGATGATACTGAAGACCTGAACTCTGACTGACACTTTTCCCATATTTATAGAGTTTCTCTCCAGTGTAGACTTCTCGATGAATTCTTTGATGTGAACTTTGACTGCTGTCCTCACCACACTCGTCAGTCCTTTTCCATTTCTCTTCTATGTGAACACGTTGATCAGTGCAGAGCACCAAGCTAGAACTCTCACCCTCCCCAAAATCACTATATATGTGATGTTCTGTGCCCAGGTGCAATTGCTGATGCTCAAGTCTGGGGCTAAGGCTGATGCCTTTTCCATTTTCAGTAGAGGTGTGGTCAACTGAGAGGATTACATTTTGTTGGAATGATGCCTTCACAAAGTCTTTCTCAAAATTCTTGTGGCCAGAAGTCTCACCTTTCCTCACTTCCTGATCATCACTGTGGAGACCAGAGGTCTTTTTCCTGACACGGTGCTCACACTCACACAGTTTACATTTGCTGTCACCCTGCTGACATGTATTCTGATCATTCTGTGACTCTCTGAGATACACTTTCTTCAGGCAATTGTGGATGGTCTTCATGGGAAACTCTTCATTTCTTATACTAGTGAAACATTGAACTTTTCCTTGAAGCTTTATTACATATTTCTCATCTCCTGAATCCTGAGTATATTCTCCTGTGCACAAGTGACAGAAGGAATCACCTTCTTTTGGCAAATCTGACTTCTTGCCTTGAAGGTTTATTATCAAGTGTTGACTTCTGGTTAACTTACTCACAAGTTGTTCCCATATTTGCCAGCATCCAAGGTCTTCATGTAAAAGGTACCTTAATGCAACTTCTTGAAGACTCTCTACCTTACTTTGGTTCCAGTGTCCTGGAAAGATAAGGAGAATAAAAACGTGACAAGCAGGACAAGCAAATGTCTGCTCAGACAAAAAATATTTTACAGGTCAACCACCCAGGGAGACCTTATTCAGTCAGCTTGGCTTTCACCATAGGCTTTCTCATGCGTAAGGAAACAAAAAGGTGATGAGTAGGCTCTTGTCCACTGAGTTTTAAGGTGACTCACTTGGAACTATACCAAGACTTAGGTATGAGGTCAAAAGTAGAAATACACGGCTACAGACAAGGTGACGCTCTCAGGAAAATGGTGAACGTTCTAAGTAGAATAAATTAGAAAATTCATACTCATGACTGACACATCTTATGGGAGTAAAATATCCCATAACTGCAGAAATTTAGTTTGACTGAATGTTCTGATGAAGATCAATGACTAACAACACCTTCCAGGTTTTGAACACTAGGTATGCATTTGCACATATGAGAAGATGCCGTGGTAACCACCATACACAATGGTCCCCAATGATCCTGCCTGCAGATGTCCATATGGTATCAAATGCCTTCCTGCAATGTATGAAGATAAGTGTGTGAAGCCAACAGAATATGGCAAAAGAGCCCTTGCCAGGTGGCTCCACTGGTTGTAGCATCATCCCATACACCAAGAGGCTGTGGGTTCGATCTCCACTCAGAGCACATACTAGAGGCAACACAATCATATTTCCCTCTCTCCCCCTAAAATCAATAAACACATCCTCCTGGGAAGATTTTGAAAAATCTCTAGAAGTGATAATACATCACTTCCAAGGTTATATCATATAAGATATTGTGGTTTCTGCCTTCCACTCTCTTGCATGGAAGAAACCAGCTGCCATGCCATACTTTGAGGACAGCCAGGAAGCCTACGGGACAGGCCCACTGACAAGGAACTGAGGCCTTCTGCCAACACCCGTGTAAATGAGTCCATCCTGGAAGCCAATACTTCAGTCCCATTAAGCCTTCAAAGACCTGATGTTCTCCTGGACTCCTTGACATCAACTTGATGAGATCCTGATCCACAGTCACCCAGCTAAGCTGCCTCCAGATTCCTGACTCACAGAAGTATAAATATATGCTTCTTCTTGGAAGCTACTAAGTTTAAGAGTAGTTTGTTATACAAGTAGAGATAGCTGCTGCAAGTACCATAAAAAGTATAATTAGGGCAGCCGTTCATCATGTGGGTAACGATGTTCTCAAATAATTCTTCAGTCACACTGGCTTTTTCCTACACTTTTGTGCTGTCTCCAGTAGGAGTGAAGACAGTGAGACCCACCTAGCACCATTCTCTCTGCACATTTGTTTATGAAACTCCTGGATGGAGATAAAACCTTGTACTGTGAGCATCTGTACAGTGTAACAAGGCCACAAGGATATACAGAACATGTGTATCAGGGCACTTAGATGGACAGACAAAACGCAAAATCTGGGGCTGTTCAGATGCTGCCAAAACAATTTAAAAGAAGGGAGATGTAGGTACATATTCTATAAAGTTTGTTCAGTTTCCTCTGGGGTGTGAGTTAAAGAGGTTCATCCATGAATCACAACTCAGGCAATGGCACATTTGAGATGTGTGTCCATAAATGTTCCCTCAATAAAAACTGAAATATAACCTTGTTTTACTCCCTGAAAATTCACAAAGGGGTACTGCCGTTTTTTGTATATATTTCAATAAAAAGATGCCCCAAGATTCCAAAATAAAACATTTATTCCAGAAGACAAAACAGCCTTGGCTGGATAGTTTAGTAGGCTAGAGTGCTATCTCAAAATGAAGGTTGAGGGTCACTGAATCAACTAATGATTGCATACAAAAGTGGAACAACAAATCAATGTCTAAATGTCTCTCTTGTTCTCAAATCAACCAATAAATAAATAATATTCAAACAACAACAAATTTTTCTTCCTTTACAACAAAAAAACCAACAGGCCCAGGGTGGGTAGCTCACTTGGTTAAATTGACGTCACGTAACTGAAAGGTTGAGGGACTGAATCCCAGTAAGAGCACATATCAGGTTTGAGGGTTCAGTCCTCCAATCCCGCTCCAGGTATAGACGAGAGGACACTGATTTACACTTCCTCCCTCAACAATGTTTTTCTCTCTAAAAGCATTGTCCTCGCATGACGACCAAAAAACAAAAACAAAAACAAAACAAAGAAGAAGAAAAGAAAAAAGGTTATATACTTGGAAACTTCCCTAGTAAGAGGAAAAGACACCAGATGTAACTGGGTTCATAATTCCTAAGGAAGGCACATCTGTTAAAAAAAAGGGGGAGCAAATCAAACAGCTGGCATGAGGCCTTCCTGACTGCTGGGAACCCTCAGGTACCATGAAGACATAAGAACAGAAATAACAAAAAGACAGGGAAAAGTTTCCCCCACTATTCACAAAAGGCAGAACCTCAGTTAGATTTCCCTAGGGATTTCATCTGATTCAGTCGTTGATTTTTGGTACTTACATCCAATAGGGGTGAGTATCATCACTGTATTTTAGATTGGGTTTACCTGAGGGATATACACAGTAAAGATAAATGTAGGAAGAAGGCATTTAATAAAGGAACAATGAGGGAAGGGAGGAGAAAGCAGGCTAGTAGGGAGGATGTTACCAGGTAAATGGATGCGGCAGAGCTTGCAATGGCAACACAGACACCACAGGTTAGGATAAGCTGTGAGGGAGCCTTGCCCCTACCATCCAAATGGGACCGCCTACCCATCCATCCATGCATCTATCTAATCATCCATTAATTAACTAATTCACTCATTTATCAAAAAAGTAGTTAATAAACATACCCTATGCATTAAAACTCTCAGAGGCACTTGTATACATCAATAAAGAAAACAGATACAACACCTGTTCTCCCAATGGTACACTGTAATGGGGAGAGAGGCCATAAAGAAGTAAACAAAACATAATCCATTACTATATCAGCTGGCAAGTAATGATGAGTCAGAAAACAAGGCAGAGGAGGAGACTTGAGATTTTAAGCAGATTGGTCAGAGCAGGCATCTGTGATGACATTGGAGCAGACATAGCAGAGGCAGGAGCCAGGAGGGCTAACGGGGCAGAATATGGATGAGCAAGACAGAGTCCTTGAGACACAGGCATAGTGAGCAGGTCAGAAACATAGAAAGCAGCAACACAGTGTCACATGATGAGTAAGGACAGGACACTCAACAAGAGGGCATGTGTGGCCAGATCAGACACATAAAGGATGTTGGACTGTATGAATGGGAAGGCACGTTCGCAACGGCAAACACAGAAGTGATATCACCTGCCTGCTGTTGGAGAACAGACAACAGGAAGGCACACAAAGAAGCAGGAGGCAGTGAGAAGCTACTGTGACTCAGTGGAGTCATGAAAGCTGGAGGCTTGGGCCAGGGTGGCCACACTGGTGGCAGGGAGAAGGACAGCACCTGGCCTGTGCCCTGGGAGGCCTTAGAGCTGCCTGCTTCTCAACTGAACACCCACCTCCTTGGGGTCCGTCTGTGTCATCTAAAGCTTCTTCTCTCTCCCCAAATGTAATATCCTAGCCAATTTGAAGGACTGATATCCTGTGAAAAACAAATGCTGGATATACTGAAAAAAATTTTGAACTCCATTACTATGACCCTCATGTTTTCTATGGAGTATTTCTCCAAATTTGGACTGCGACGTGATGTTGTAAATACAACAGGGGATCAAATAAGCATCCTTTACTGATTTACTCACCATTTTGGTTGCAC